CAGGACTTGTATGACAGAACAAAAGATACAAGACTAGCTTTGACCCTGTAGACCTCCTATGCTGCAATCAAGTGCAGTTGCAACAAGCTGGAGGTATTCGCTCCATGAAGAGGTGAAAAGAGGTGATTGTAAGAAGTGTGAAGGCAATTCTATATCCATAATGCATTCTTCCGAGAGCACAAGGGCATCTGTTAAAATGGTTTCTCTTAACAAACAACTTTAGAGATACTTGAGTAAAAGCAGGTAAAGAATCACAAATAGAGGATAATTTAACAAGATGCTATAAGGCATTAGAAAGGACAGATATTGTAATCTTATTCTGTTGTAGAAGTATATCCTGTCCCATGAATAAAACTGGTGATAACTGTGAGTAATTGATAATTGTACCAAGAACAACCTGCTTATTTCTCAAGCACAGAGCAAAATCTGTAGCATTCTCAAAACATTTTGGTGTTGCTTGCATTTTCCTTTTCTCTTACAAAGACTTCCCAGAGGCATGAGGAATCCATCGCTCAGTGAAGTGGACCTGGGAGTAGATCAGGAGAAGCTGAGGACCTACTCGTCTCTAATTTATTCTTCTAAATAAAAATTGTCTGCTTAAAGAATATGAGAATAGAAAGAAAAAGATAACTACCCCCCTGTATCAAATGCATGTATATTCTTTCAGTATTTGCAAATCAAATGTCTTGCCAGCCTCTTAAGGGCCTCAGAAGTCAGATTGTTTGTCCCTGATTTTTGGAGTGTCATTTCACTGACAATTCTATCTACTGAATTTCCATCTGCCACCAAAGGAAATTTAAACTTTTTCAAAACTCTAAATAGTTTTGCACATTTACTGGCCTTTCATTATCATTGTTGCACTAATATTCCTGGGCATGATAGTTTTGTCCTTCTTGAGCTTCTCCACAAGGCTGTTAGTCTTCCTGCGCTTAATTCTGTTCATTAGACCTGTTTCTGTTGCACTGTCTAAAAAGATAATATGCTAACAATAACACATAATTCCATGAGCAATGGAACTAATTAAAGCTTATTTTCTGCACATTTTTGTATTATTATTGACTAACGTGTCCTGGAAGGCGCAATCTGCTTGAAGCTTTCTCAGTAACTGGGGCACTGTTAATGACTTTCTTCAGTCAGGAGTCTTCAGTGTCTAATAATCTGTGACATCAGTTTTTCACTTATATTGGGCACTTGTATAGTCTGTTACAGCTGTCTATATGAACAGAATTTGTGGAAACTTATTTTTGAGACCTGTGTCCTTGGATAGATACTGGATCAGAAGTTACAGGTAATCAGGGAAACGGGCAGATGCAGATTGCAATTTAATGGAGTTATTTCTAAAAAAACCTGAAAATTTATCTAAAAAAAAAAATTATTTTTCCAGAACTGTTGTTGAAAGACTGATCTCCTTACACAGGATTTTTTTGGTTTTTTTTTAAATATCTGGAAAGGCATATAGGAGATCATGAATACTATCATAGACTTATTTGCTATGTTTTTCAAGTATCACTTTCTGGCCAAATCAATGTAAAATATGTTTAAATTACTTCCCATTGAGAAGCAGATTAGTCTGATTAAAAAGATGCACTAATGTGTCCAGGCTGATTCTGATACTGAACTAACTCAGGCACTTCCACTTGGCATGTAGTATTGCTTTGTGCTGTTCACACAGACAGGTACGTACATTTACACCTAAGTAAGGAATGTAAGTGGGACATAGCCCCAGATTCTGACACTTGCATGTCTCCAAGGAAGGTGTCCATATGACATATAGATGTCTAACTTCCCATTATAATACATGGAGACCTACTTAAGAGAGTTAACACCATGCACATGCTAATGTAGATATTTACAGTTGATCTGAATCCCATTCCTAATTAGGTGCATGAATGTGGACCAAAATTGCACTCCAAATGTCTAAATATAGATATAGGTTATCATATTTAGGCAGAAATACTTGAAAATATTTGGTTCCCTACCCTTAATGCAGTCTTCTATATTGAGACATTCTGCCAGAATTATGGCTGTGATTATGAACAGAGCTGCAGAACTGATATCTTACTAGATTCTTTGTGTTTCTGTGTTAGGAAAGTCCTATTTTGATTAATCAGTCTTGCTACAAAAATGTGCTATTTCTTTCACAGCAGTTTTCAAGAAAGCTGTTCTGAAATTTCCTGGAAGACATGCTCCAGCTTGTTGTGCCCAGCTGTGTTACACACTCACACATGATTAATGAAAACCATATCATCCTGCACCAGTCAAGAAAGAACTAATTTAAGTTAACTTGCTTGCATTCCTACCCATTCCATAAGGAAAAAGATCTCCTATTTAAATAATTGAACAGATTAACTTCTGTGCGCTCATACTTGGAGCAAAAGACAAGAAAAGAGAAGTTTCAAGAGATTACAGGACAAAATTAACCATAGGAGGCCAACATATTTCTATCAGATCAAAATATAAAGATTAGGGTGGAAAAAGGCTGAAAGCTGGGGAAATAATTCTGCTGAGAACTGTTTCTCTAAATCAGAATTGAAAGTGTAGACTTATCATTCTCCAGCATGCATTATATCATAAACCTTCAGTCCACAATAAATATCACTTATTTGGATACAGTTTTAAGTAGCAACAAAGATCAGTTCACACATGGAAGGGAAATTTATGAATAGAAACTTTCAAGTCAACAAACTTTAAACCTAGCAAGCTTAGGTATGCCATTTTCTACATGAGTAGAAAAAAAAAATCTTCTAAAATGGAACATTTATCAATATGCCACTCTGAAAAATTCAAAACACAAACAAAAATTTACAAGTAGGTACATAATACAAGTTGGCAAACATGCAGTAAGAGGGAATGTCTTGTACATATCTGTTTGCTGAAAGGCAAAACGTTATTAAAACCAAAATAAAATAAAAATAACATCAGTGATTATCAAAACCTGCCAGTCCACCTTCTTTTTCTCACTAAGTCACAAATCCCTTCAAGCGTAACTTTTAGCTTATTTCAATGGTTGTGGTTAAGCTCAGCTGTATTATGTGTGGCTTTGTTTATTTGCTTTTTTTTTTTCCTATAAACTGGTATTAAGCAAAACTGGAAAAAAAAGGTTATGTAACACAGAAGAAGTTTTTGTCTCCAGTAAGCTCTAAACCAGAATGCATTTCAGTACAACATTTTTACTTGAAGACTGTTTTACCAGTATTGGCTCTGTCATAAATAAATATATAGAAAAACTACGTAACAGTAACCACTTCCACAATCTAAAATTAAGAATTAATTTTGCTTTGTGGGAAAAATAAATGTGATGAATTTTAAAATATGTCCAAAACTGGACTCTAGCTAAGGCGTAAATGAAGTTCTTCCACACCTCCAGGGTTTTACTCAAAAGGAGGCGAGCTGACATGAACACATCAGGACTTTTTATCCTATGCACATCTAGACGCTCTCCTTTTAGAAATATATATGTATATCTGTAGTGATGAACAGGAAAAATAACTTCTGAAAAGTATGTTTGCTTTCATGAAATATAAACTATTGCTAAATATGTGAAAAGCAATATATTATTTAATTTTTTTAATTTTCTTTTTTTTATTATTCAGTCTTTTGTTTCTCATCTTGTTTTTTTGTTTGTGTGTTAGTTTATCTTCCTCTGTTCCTCCTTCCAAACATGCAATACAATGCTCTTTTGATAGGTGATATACAGTTTTCTGAAGTGTCCACAATTTTATTTTTTCATTGAATACAAATATCCAGAACTAAAAATAAGCCACAGAATTAATCTCCAAAGCTGAACAAAATTTGAGTGGTTATCACCTTTAGTTATTTTAATTTTCATATTGTAATCAGTTCTGGGTTTTATCCTCATGAAGTACAGATTTAATAAACTCATATTGCATACTGACTGCAGTTACATGACACCGAGTGAGGCACAGTCAGTCACATGCACTCACACAGGCAAAAAGCAGAAATAATGTTTCAAGCTTTATATTTTGGTCAGGTGTAGAATTTCTAACAATATGGACAGGCAGATTATAAATGAAAACCTTTTTCATTCTCAGCTGAAATCTGTGTCTTGCAGTAAAGTAGGTAATAATAAGACAAAGTATTTCATGCTTTAGCAAAAACTGCCTTTTCATAAATTTACGCTAGGTAGTAATGAGCTATATTGTGTGGTGTTTAATCTGCTCTAAAAAAAGTGGGAAGAAATTCTTCTGCCCAGCTCTCAGGTATTAAGTCCGTACATCTTTTATGTTGACAGTTCAGCTTCGGGCTATAAAATAGAAGAACCTGTTCTACATCTACTGTTTAAAACAAGAGCAGAAAAACTAAGCCTCCATCAATCTGCTGTCTTTGTTTTATGGCTTATCTGTGGCAAAAAATGAATCATAAGAAAGATTTGTTCTGATTCCACTGACAGATCCATCAACTCACTGGTACCCATGAACCGTGCTTTCCTATAGCAATTGGTGGTAATGGCACAGTTGCTGTATTAAACATACTATAACATTGAGCTGCTGCTATTCACTTGCAATTACAGTAAGGTTGTGCAATAATATATCTAGAAAACATGCATGCACACACCACACACTCAAAGTAATGCAAGTTCACATGGTCATTTTTTTCACATCTATACCTCTTTGAAATGGCATACTTTCTTTCAGAAGCTCTATCAGGACCAAAGAAAATAGAATAAGACTATATAACATAATACAATGTAACATAACATAATATAATATAATAGTGTAATTACTAAAAAGTATAATTTTAAATATGTTTTTCAGACTAAATTTCTGTCCAAATCCTTTGAATACAAAATGCATACAAATATGTTGTTTCTTCAACAAATTACTTGTAAGCTCTTCAAGAAATAACACAGTCTATCAAGTTCTGAGCTGTGGCTTCTTAAGCTGCAACTTTTCAAAATCAAACCCTGCATAGATTTGTAATCTCACATAGAAATTTTGGATGACAAGAGAACACAGCCAGCAGATGAGGTATTTGCTCACCTGAAAGCAGCAGTTCAAGAGACTGAAGTCTGCTTGTGATGGTATGTAGGGTGAGGATAGCAAAGGAAAGCAAAGTTGGGAATGCTTGAAAAATAAAATATTTTTAGCTAACAAGAAGAAAATTAAAATTTTGGAGAAAGGATTTATTTCACATCTGAATCCCTCTCCCAAAATGGTCTCTGATTTTATCTTAACCCTTTGAATAGACATCTCTAAAAAGTACAGTAGCAGTTACATTAAAGCACATGATTCTTTTAGTTAAGGGCCAATGCAGAGTATATCCAGGAATAACTCCAATTGAGTTAAATGGTCTACTCAGAGTAAAAAGGAGTGTACAGTGTAGTGGTGATGCAAATTATTTAGTTTAGTAACTCTGCATGTAGTTTCAGCTCCCTTTTTAGATAGCTCTATCCTGACAGCAATTTCATAATGCAGTCAAACCTGGTGCCAGAAAATATCAACTAAGTGGAGAAAAAAATTGAGACATTCTTAAAAAATGGTAGTTCAGTTTGCTTTAAAGTGTGACACAAGTATGAGAAAAGGGGAAAGAAAAACACACAAGTATAGTTTAGTGACATTTATTTCATAAAGATTGTGAAAAATGTGTCTTCTATGGATTATTTGGGTATTTGCAAAGCTCGAAAAAACCAGCTAATTACATAAGCTATCAACAGCTTCCCATGGAAAGAGCTTATAGGGTTTCTGACCTGATATCATATTCATTTAATCTAATTTATGAAACTGCTTGAGGAAACATTCAGCTGCTTTCTGAAAGACTGACTTGGGGATTATTGGAGCTGTGTAATTGTTCAACTGATCAGACTTTAAAAGAAACATTTTGTTTTACATTAATCTAGCAGAAATGGGCAATGAATTTGAGAAATAGATTGCTGTCTAAAAGCCTTGCCAAAAAATGTCTAGCTGAGAGCAAGCACAACTACTTTTTTTTTAACAGTCTCATTTTCTTATTTTCAATCTTTATTCAACATCTGTTCTTCCCCCCCTCCTCTGTAACATAATTATGCAGAAACCCAGCATAAAACAGGTTGAGCAGTTAATAACAGGCAGCTTAAACATTTTTTCACACTGATGCCCTGCAGATGTTTCTTTCTTTTTCTTTTTTCCTTTGGCTTCTCATTTAATTTGTATACGTTTCTTTCCTGATCTTGAAGTATGCTCTCACAACATATGAAAGCACCTGAAAATAAATCTGGGAGATGCACATGTTCATAAGGCCATTATTGTGAAAGGTAGTGCATTTGAAAGGAGAGAGTGAAATTCACCGTTTGTCCAGTTAAAGCAGAAGGAATTTGATTGACATAGATAGTATCTCACCACACTCACTCCAGAAAAATGTCCAGACATTTTAAAGACATTCTGTATAAAGGTTGACAGTCTTTCAGTATATGTCTATGTATATGTTTTCTTTTCTACAAAATAGGTTCGCTTTGCTTTTCTGTATTTGACATAAACTCACTACACATCTCAAAAGTAATCATGGCTCCATGATAAATACTCCTCATTTTGCAATACTTCATTTCAGTAATTAGCACTTGACATTTAGCTTAAAAGGGATGAAGAAATGTTATATTGACAGATGTTCAAAAGGTCCACTAGAATATAATAGTTCCTCCATGCAGAAATATGTACAAGATGCTGTTTTCCCCTGAATTTCCAAAGAGTTCACTGATTAAGATAAATAAAGGATCCTAATTCATCTGGGAAAAACTATTTAAATAAGTTGGTGTTAACTGAGAAATAAAGTACTAAAATTCTAGTAAATTTTCACTTTGGTTCACACCAGAAAAAAAAGGAAATTAAAAATTACGGAAGGCAATTCTTTGCCAAAATAGAATGTATTTCGTTTTATGTGATACATGTAAGCAAAGAGAGCACAGTAAGTGTAATTAAAAGTTCAGCCTATTGTAATTAGAGGATTCCATAGTCAGGTTTGCATAAATACCTTACCTGGGATTATTCCATTAATGTTGAATTAGTTTATAAAAGATGAATCCAAACAGGCCTGATAAGGGTGAACATTTTCCCCGTGGGTTTAGTAGTGTATAACTCCTCATGGTTGCATTCTGAGGACTGAATGACCTGGGGTGGGTTTTTGTTTTTCATTTTGTTACTGGTTTATTTTTATATTCTTGGTATTTGAGGAAACTATTGTATGCTTTCCATATTTTCTGGCAGACTTGTGTAAAAAATTATGATTTTCATATTTTTTCAGCCTGCCCGCTGTATGAAATTTTTACATTTGTGTGGAGTTTCACTCACATATTTATTATATTATAGATGGATGAGATACTACCCTTTATTAATGAGACAACATAATCTGATGGCTCCTGTTGGAGGAAAAATATTTTCTTCTCTCATTTGTCTCACAAGAGGTGATGAATAGTTAAAAATTAGCACAGAAGACACATGTAAATCCCTGCTATATCTATGAAACATTTGTTCTTTAAGAGGGTCACATAACTGCCATTTCTAACCTCCAGGGTTTAAAGTAAAAGAGAAATTGTCCCATTGCAGTAGGAAAGCAGATTTGACACAGATGAATAAAAGAACGTTTCTTAACTAAATATAAATTAAAAAAAAAAAACAACCACAAAACCAAACTGAAAGATTAATATCTTTTCTTTGGGCAAGATTACATGTAGGATAGTTACAGAGTATAAAATTATTTAATTTTCCTTTGTTCTTCTGAAAGATGTCTGGTTTCCTTCCAAAGCAGAAGGTTAACAATAATTTTCAAATAAAAAAACCAAAAAAAAACCAACTAAAAAACCCCAACCAAAACCAAAGTCCAATTTCAAATCCCTCTCTGTGATAAGGTAAGAAAAAGCATTTGTTTTTTTTAAACAGTATCTAATGATAGAAGCTGCTTTAATGATGAAAGATTACACAGATAGCTTTTGTAATGTGCACAGTCAAGTTAGCCATAAATATGTGCATACGTAACAGAAAAATTCTTTTGTAATGCAAAATTATATTTTAAGAAAAAGTAATATTTCTATGAAGGAGTTCTTCGGCATATGAAAGAACTATCTTTATAGTTTCACTTTTAAATTATCAAAGTTGCAGAAAACTCTTTTTGTTCTGTGCTGTCCTCACCTGCTCCCAGCAAAGGAAGAGACAGTTTGGAAGCAGGCAGGAAATGCTAAAGAATGTGAGAAGAAACTGAAAGATACCCTGCATCTGGTATCTCCTGAAATTACTGTGGAAGTCTGCTTAGAACTACCTTCCATGTAGTGTATTGCTACCTACCGTGCACTTATGTGTGCCTAGAAAATTGGGATTCTTAGAATTGATCCAATGAGACTGCAACTTAGAGTAAGTTTATTAGATTATGAGTGTGGGGAAAAAAGAAAAATAAAAACAACAAAAAAAAAAGAAAAGAAAAAAGGAAAAGAAAAAAGAAAAAATACAACAGCATCTTCAATACAAACACAAAAAGCTCTTTTGTATGAGAATTATATAACTGTGCTATGGTTTATGGTAGAGTTTTTCTGCACACCGTCATAGTTTGTATGAACAAAAATGTAGTGTAATACTGCTTTGCTGCACTGAAGTTAGATCCTTTTCAGTTAGCCCCACATAACTTCTTAAGAGTCATACAAATTTCTTCAGTTTCAGCATTTACTGATAGGAATCCTACTAAATAGATTACTATAGTAAGTTACTACAATGATCTAATTTTAATTTTACGATATTGGACCCACTGCTCACCATGCTGATCTGAAAAAGAGGTACAATTATACGTTCTTAAAATGACTAATAACACCAGAATCATGACTTCAAGGTATCATGAGGACGTGACTTCATGACATTAGGAGGAGCAATGCACAATAATGCTACTGACAGTGGATGTCAATGTCCACTTGTTAAACTTTATATACTCTTTGCATGTATGTTAGGGTAATTCTGGGGAACTAATTTTATGCAAAACCAACCAAGATTTAAAGTATAAAAGAACAGTTTTTCCTTGTTAGAAAAAAAATCCTTTCTATACATGAGATTAAAGATTTTTTTTTTTCTACTATTCACCAACAAGAGAGACTGTAATTGCTATTAAGTAATGTTTCATGTGCAGCACTAAAGATGCAATTACTATATATCCATGACATCACTTCAAGGTTCTACCAAGACATGATAGCTATCAGAAGAAAGTAATGTCCTCATATCTTCGCAGAGGGAATTTTTCCTGGATTTGAAATATGTTATTTATAAAGCTGACAATCTTCAATTAGACACACCAATATTTTTTGATTTCTTCTTCCATCTGCCAATCTGCTCTATTCTGAGTTTGCAGCTCATCAGAGGCCTCTAAATTAAAGATTTCTGTCTTGTTTTGTTGGATACCTAAAAGATGTGCACTGGCAGACTGATACATTACATGGTGAAATTCCTTCTGAATTAGCTTGAACTCTTTTTTTCCCCCCTTTATTTTCTGATATTTAATTTAATTTTTTTTCTATTTTCAATATTTGCGCTGTTCTACATATTGTGATGTCCTGGTTTCGGCTGGGATAGAGTTAATTTTCTTCACAGTAGCTAGCATAGTGCTGTGTTTTGGATTTAGTACCAGAAGAATGTTGATAACACACTGATGTTTTCAGCTGTTGCCAAGCAGTGCTCAGACTACTCAAGGACTTTTTGAGCTTCTCCTGCTCGGCCAGGTGCATAACAAGCTGGGAGGGAGCACAGCTAGCACAGCTAACCCAAACTGACCAAAGGGCTATTCCATACCATATAACGTCATGCTCGGGGGGCTTAGTTAGTTCGGTCGGTCGCTCGCGGCTCGGGGACGGCTTGCGGCTCGGGGACTGCTTGCGGCTCGGGACGGGCTGGGCATCGGTCGGCGGGTGGTGAGCAATTGCATTGTGCATCATTCGTTTTGTATATTCTGTATATTCTGTTATCATCCTCATTATTACTATTATTATTATTTTCTCTTATTAAACTGTCTTTATCTCAGCCCTCAGCTCTAACCTTTTATTTTCTTTCCGACTCTCTCCCCCATCCCATTGAGGGAGGGGGGGGAGTGAGCGAGCGGCTGCGTGGTGCTGAGTTGCCAGCCG